CGAAATAAAAAACGACTTTGCTCTTTCAAATCTTGCCTAATATTTTTCCTAGAACACTTTATGTAATACCGATTTATTAAGATTTTTATTGACATTATTTTGTTCATTACATGAATTTCGTTAAAATGTATAATTTAGGAGATATTTGCAAAAAGACGAAGAAAAACGCCAAAAATATATGAATCTTTAGTGGCCAGTAACTTGAAAAGTATTAGTTTTTTTGAAAAACTATAGAAGACATTTTTTTATTATAGTTAGCTCTTCTATCGATTTCCGACGTTATTTTGAAAAAATGTAATTACACAATTGAGAAGGGGGGTCATCCCCCCGGGGGGTGATGGCGCAACCCGAATTGTTTTCAATTTTGAATTTGAGGGTAAGATGAACCTAATTCCAAAATTTCATGAAATTCGGAGCACAGTAAAAAAATTCAGACCTAAAACGCTCCGTTTACTGCACTATTATAATTATTTATACAGGCGGGTCCTTGATTAGCGGTGGACGCGCGATTTGCCGACGATGATCTCGGGCTGGGTTGCGCTGGATTGCTGCGTCGAACATAGCTTCATCTGTCAGTTTGGGATTCTTCAACCTGGTCATCTGCGTTGAATATGGTTCTTCGCCAACAGTTTGACATTGAATGATCCTTTATTCGACAGATATTACAAAACGGTGTCGAGTATTTTTTTCTGAATTTGTTGCCTTGAAATTCTGTGCGATCCAATTTAATTCTCATAAAATTTTGTTTTTCTTGCAAAGCCATTAGTATCGCTTCTTGTAAATTGCTATGCCTAGTAGCCCAAACTAAAGTTCTCAATTCAGGCCTAAGGCCGCCTACAAAAACTATTAGAGCTAGTTCATTATGAGCAGGCTTACTACTGTCATCATTCAGACTTTCTTGATCATACATCCGTTCTAGAATTAATTCTATTCTCTGTGCATACTTTCTCACTCTTTCCCCAGTATTTTGTTTTATTTTAGTTAGTTCTAACTGCAACTCAGCCAAGAACCGTCTCTCCCCAAATTTCTTAAAAAGTATTTATTTGAGATTTGCCCAATTCATAGAAGTAATACGTCTAACATATTCAAAAGCAGCACCTTCTAATTTATTTTATATAACTTTTTTCATTTCTGCGCATGTTGCCGCGTTTAAGCCCTGTCTATAGGTTTCAATAGAAAAAATAAATTTACTTAATTCGGATGGTTCACCATTAAATTTAGGAATTAATTGTATAGCTGAGCTTAATGCCTCATAATTAAATTTTAGATCCGTATCTGTTAAAGTAAAACGTCTGGGGAAACTGGTTGCCATCTTATGGTAGGAATGTGAAAGTGTGGTTTCTCCTCCGCAAAAATAAAGAAAAAAAGATTCACTTATTTGGGTAGTAAAGTTTTTAGTGTCGGTCGCCACCTATTGTCCTTCAGTTCTTTATGAAGTAAGGCCGGTTGCTGAATTAGCCGCCGATTGTCTCTGCTTCGACCGCAGCCCCCGGGGCCTCAAAACTCGTGGTTTTCGCAATCACAGCCATCGCTTACTTAATACTTCTCAGAAGGTAATCTCCCCGGGTGCCATCATGAATTGTATTTGGTAAGTGTTGGGGCGACTGTTTTACTTTCGGATGCCTTTGGTTCTTGTCCTCGGTATTGATAAGACACTTTTTACTTAATACTTTCTTTATTAAATAATATTTACAATAATTCTAGTCGGCGACTGTTCCAAGAATCCTGGTTATAAGAATGCCTGACATATACGCATTGCACAGGTTTTATAGTAGTTCAACTAACGATACCCGCCAGGGTTACCCAACATGCTGCAAAATAAGGTTCATTATACATCGTCAAATACTCTAAATATACAAAGCCTACTTTTGGTTTGGGGACAGCCTACGAAACGCCGTCCCTCATAACGTTCTCTAGGCTCACATTAAAAAGATGTTCGATTAACATATTTTTGCGCGCTGGACCGCACGTTTTCGGTATCTGGAGCCATCAAGTTTCATCTATTCAAGACGAGATTATTTTCACTAAACCATTTCGTTGCATTTGACATAACATTTAATTTATGTTCTAATTCATTGAGAGATTTTGCTTTGATGATAAAGCTGGTATCATCCGCAACAAAAAATCACAAAGAATTGTGCAAAGAGATGAATCCCTAATGTAGATGAAAAATAAGACAGACCCTAAAATCGATCCTTGGAGCACACCCAATGTTCTCGTCAGTTTATCCGAAATAATTTGCTCGTGGTCATTATTTAAGTAAACGTTTTGTGTTTGATTAGATAGGTAATAATCAAATAGTTCGAAAAAGTTCAAACGGAGCTAAATGTACAAAAAATGGCAGTTTTTTGAGAGAACTAAGCATACGATTTGAATGATTCAAAAATCTTTCTGCTTGCGTTGGAAAAAAAACTTTTTTTTGTATATCGAAAATAATTAAAGATTTTAGATTTAATTCGTGCTAAAGTTTAAAAACTCACTTATATACTATAAATAAATAATTTTTACTTTGTAATTCAGTTCATATAATTCTTATAAATATTAGACAATGTTACAGTATTTATTTATTTATAATGATCTATTTGAAAACATTAAATTTTTCTCGAACATTTCGTTACGGTACCGAATGATCCAAGAATTTGCCTTAAGGCGCGATGCCATACACCACTAGCTTAAAATATATAAATGAGCTTTAGAATTTTAACCAGAATTAAAAATAAAATCCGAATTGTTTTTGGATACAAAAAAATAATATTGGAATAAAAAATGTTTTTATTCCCAAAAGCAATTGTTTTGTCGATATGAGCAGAAAGTAATAGCAGAAAATAATTTAAATTGGATGCTTCTTTCTCTCAAAATTTCGATTTATATTTTCTGCGCTTTTTGCTCCGTATCTCCGAAACGGCTGGATCTGCCTTTGCCAAAAACTAAAAAGCACATTTCAATATCAATAGGAATCGAATGTTTTTGAACCATTCAAATCGGTTATTACCCGTGCGCTCGAAAACGTGGACGAAAAATTGCGGGCACACAAAACACATATACGTACACACACATTATTTTTTCCAAAATGTTCAGAAACCATAAAAACGTGAAAAAATTTAAGAACTTTCAATTTCAATTTGGGAATCGACCTGATTAGTTTTTGGGCAAAACTTCGCTGGGACAATTTCTTGTAATTAACTGTTGAAACATTGTTTTTCGACGAATTTTATGATTTTTTTTTTAATAATAGATACGATGTTTCATACTTTATACTAAAATATTGCGGCCCTACGACAAGTCGTTTAATTTTAAAAATTGGTCAAAGTCTGAAAAATTGTATCGTTTTCTGGCGTTTGTCAAAATTAGACCTTCCATCGACGTTTGTTCAAAAAGGCCTAAATCGATTTCAAAACTTTAGAAGCCTCGATGAGGATTATTGTTTCTCTGTTTTGCGAGACCATCGGCCAGGCCGTTTCTTTGTGAAGAGCATAAAAGTGTAAAACTTTTCGTCCACGTTTTAGATCACAATCCTGAATCGATTTTAAAAAAATAAAAACTATTAGAAAGATATTGGTTGATACTGATTAGTTTTCGGTAAAAATTGAGCCAGGCATTTCTTTATAATTAACTGTTAAACGTTTCTGCCGATTTCAATGAAACTTATTTTTGACGATAGATATCTTGATTCAAAAAAACATACTAAAATATTACGGTCCTACGAGTCAATCAACTCAATTAGAAATGGCTTTGGAATTAGCAAGAAAGTAAATGAACACCCAACATTCAATTCATTAAATTGTAAACTAGTGGTATATGGCATCGTGCCTTAAGGCAAATTGCTGGAACTTCCCGTACCAAAAGTTTTTTTTTAAATTAATTTTAATTAAATTGAATTAAATGTTTTTTTTATTTCGAAATATTACGGATTTTTTTCCAAAGCAATCGCACTGCTTTAACTGCATAGAGACGAATTATCGAGGCGCGCAAGCGCCGCGTCGCCGTCTAACGGATAAACGATGTTCCGGAACCCATAGAAATGTAAACAAAATTGATACACATTTTTAAAATCTCTATTAAATATCTGATAATTTGATGTACATATGTCTAATGATCATTTTTGACCGTCAAATGGCATTTTTTTTACTTTTTTTACTAGATCTCCGAAACCGCTGGGCCTGCCTTACCAAAAATTGAATCCGTTGTTCACCTTGTCAATACAAATAAAATTTTTTTTGAATGATTAAAATCGGACGCTCCGTTATCTTAAAAACTGAGGTACCGTTTTTGGCACATTTTACCTCGTATCTTCGGAACCGCTAGACCTGCGTTTGCCAAAAATGCAATACGAATCGAATGTTTTTTAAATTATTCAAATCGGTTGACCGTGTTCCCGGAATCGTCGACGAACACACACACACACATACATCAATTTCTTCTAAGGTATTCCAAAATGTTCAGAAGGTTTTCAAACGTAAATATATATAAAAAATTTCTTTCTAGATTTTTTTGCGATTACTATAACTTACCCTACGGTAAGTTAAAAATGTAATTTTGTCTGTATGTGCTTAATATTTTTTACACTAAATTATTATGTTTTTTTCAACAAAAGATTTCGACGTTTTTTATGAAATTTAACATTGCTAAAAAGGTCATGCACTAAACGCTCATACGAAAACTGGTTGATTTATAAAAAATAATTGGAGTTTTGTATAATAACCTACAATTTTAGGACATATAAACAAGAACGTTACTGTGCTTTATAATTAATATAATGAGAAGAATGATATCAATTAGAAATCGCAAGGACTTGACCTAATTGAAAGCTAACTTTGATTTTCGAAATAAACAATTGTATATTTTATCTGAATATCTAAATCCTAATTTCTATTGATTAAGTTATTTATAACAACTATCGAGAAGTTTTTGTAACTTGCCTTAAGAAAAATGCCACTTTTAACTAGTTTATATTATTTGGATTATTTTATGTGCACTTTAATAAACTTTTTTCAATATAGATACGTGGAAAAGGTCTCGATTTGGCTATTATTGCAAAAGATTACAACTTAATAAAATGGATTGGGGCCAACTCATATAGAACATCACATTATCCTTATTCGGAAGAAGTTATGGACCTGGCGGACAAAAACGGCATCATGATAATCAATGAATGTCCAAGTGTAGATACAGAGTAAGTACTTACGTAACCAACTATATATTAATATATTATTAACTTCTCGAAGGAGTTTTCTCGACGTTTTAAGTCATTCTAAATTGAAGAAGATCAAATTTGGAATAAGTATATATGTGTGTGTGTGCCTGTGAGTGAACAGATTTTTTACCGTAAATCGACGTTTTCCCGAAAACGGCAGAAATTTTTGTGTGAATTTTTTAAGCTAAAATATTACGGCCCTACAACAACTCAGTTGATTTTAAAAATTTGTCAATGTTTGAAAAAATTAGTTTCGTTTTTTTTGGCGTTTGTCAAAATTAGATTTTTTATCGACGTTTTTTCAAAAACGGTTGAGTCGATTTGAGAAAACGTCGATTTACGGCAAAAAAAGCTGTTCACATACACACACACTCACACATTTTTCTAAAGGGTATGGGCGTGTTTCCATACAAAATTGGCCCCACCCTGGTATTTAAATAATTTTGATGCCATTTTATAGGTATTTTCGAGAAAATCTGATATACCAAATTTCAAATCCGTAGCTCATCATTTGGCCGAGATATCAGTGAAAACATGTGAAAGTGGCCCCTTTTTTCAAACTCACTTTTTGTCGTAAATATAAGAGATATCGAAAAAATGTTAACGTCATTCTGTTTATACTGGTATTGTCTATGTTGTTCATAACAAATAATGTGAAAAAATTATTTGTTAGTGCGAGAAAAAGTGAAAATAATTTTTTGTTTTGAATTTTCGGGTAGTGCGGTTGTTTGGACTAATTTTTAATTAGCATCATTAGAAAGGCTATTGAATTTTCTTTTAGTGTGCAAAATTTTATTTTTTTTCATGTGGTAGAACACATTCAAAAGTAGAAAAAACCTGAGCAAGTACACGCTCGCGCTCATATAGCACCCGTGTAAGTCGTCTCTCATTCGCAACGACTAGCAACAGCATTGCTCGCCGCGCGTCTTGATAAATTAAAACATTTCTAATAAAACACAAGATATATACATTTATATTTTGAATAATCATATATTTATATGTATATGTGTAATAATAACTATATCTTTATTTAAGAAAATTATTTACATATTGCACAAGTATATTATATGATTTAATTATCATAATTAATTAATAATTAACTAATTAATTATTACTTGTTAATTAAGTATTAATTATTAATTATTAGTTAATATTAATTAATAATTATCACTAAATAAATAAAAATAGATTGATAAAAAATATACATAATAATAGTACATCGGTATATGATTTCTATTCATGCTATAGCAATGTATAGAATTGCAAGTATACTAAATTAGTCTGAAAATATATTAAATAATATCTTGAAGTTTTTTTTATAATTTAAATAATATATAAAATATATTAAATAGAATAGCTTTACCTATAAATACTAATAATAATTGTTGAACTACTGTACTATTGTGTACGATCCTTAATTAAAACGATATTTCATATTTCGCTGCATTATAATTATATATTGTATTGTGGTTACAACTAAATTATATACTAATCAAATTAAATTAACACTAAAATATAAGAAAAGTCAAAATCGACTGGTACAAAGGTGTAGAACACATAAAAATTAAAAAAAAAAATTGAATAATTATTAAAAACTTCGTGATTAGTTAAATTCGAAAATTATATTAATTTCATTCTATCTGTATTTTGTTATCTTATGTGTGGTTTATGCAAGCGAAATTTCAAATATCGTTTTAATTAAGGATGATACACAATAGTGCAGTAGTTCAATAATTATTGAGTATTTATAAGTAGAGTAATTCTATTCTATAGAATATATTTTGAATATATAATCTCCAATTTGAATAATAATATATATTATTTAATTTAAAAAAAAACTTCAAGATATTATTTAATATATGTATGACTGACTTAGTATACCATACTTGCATTTGTATACATTGCTGTAGCATAAATAGTAATCCTATTATTAAGTATATTTAGTAATACTATTATTATGTATATGTTTTATCAATCTATATTTTATTTATTTAGTGGTGTTAATAATTCATATTAATAATTAATAAATTATTAATGATGATTAAATCATATAATATACTTGTGCAATATCTAAATAATTTTCTTATATAAAGATATAGTTATTATTACACATATACATATAAATATATGATTATTCAAAATATAAATGTATATATCTTGTGTTTTATTAGAAATGTTTTAATTTATCAAGACGCGCGGCGAGCAATGCTGTTGCTAGTCGTTGCGAATGAGAGACGACTTACACGGGTGCTATATGGGCGCAAGCGTGTACTTGCTCAGGTTTTTTCTACTTTTGAATGTGTTCTACCACATGAAAAAAAAATAAAATTTTGCACACTAAAAGAAAATTCAATAGCCTTTCCAAAAATTAGTCCAAACAACCGCACTACCCGAAAATTCAAAACAAAAAATTATTTGCACTTTTTCTAACACTAACAAATAATTTTTCTACATTATTTGTTATGAACAACATAGACAATATCAGTATAAACAGAATGACGTTAACATTTTTTCGATATCTCTCATATTTACGACAAAAAGTGAGTTTGAAAAAAGGGGCCACTTTCACATGTTTTCACTGATATCTCGGCCAAATGATGAGCTACGGATTTGAAATTTGGTATATCGGATTTTCTGGTGGGGCCAATTCTGTATGTAAACACGCCCATACCCTTTGATCTCATTCGATTCAGAATAGCTTGAAACGTCGAGAAAACATAAAATTAGCGAATCGGATTTTTTATGTAAACATAAACTTCTCCTTCGGGAATTCAATGTGCAACTATATAACTACAGATAATTTAAATGTATTTGAGAAAGTTATATTGGAAATGGAAATGTTTAGATTTAATTGAAAGCAATAACTTTATTTTTGAAATAAACAGTTGAAAATTTTATCTAAATATCTAAATTTCAACTTTGGTTGGTTAAGTCAATTATTACACATTTCAGAAAGTTCATGCGACTTGCGTTAAGGCTAAATGCCACTTTCAACTAGTTATAATATTGATGTTCTTGCTGCTAAGCACAATTCTTATATCAAAATTGTGAGTCAAACTGTAAAAAGATAAAAATAAAAAAATAGTGATGTATGGCATCATGCCTTAAGCCAAATAACTTTCCGTACCGTAACGAAATATTCGATATTCTTTTGTGTACATATTGTGAGGTTTGTCCAGTATATTCTGTTTCTTGTAAAGACTGTGCTTTCCAATATATTGGACAAACCTCACAATATGTACACAAAAGAATGAGACAACATGAACTAAGTGTGGTCCACCATAAACAAAAAAAAATTCAAAAGTACCCTAATACAGCACTCTATTGAAAATGCCCACTCGGTTAACTTCACTCCAAAGATCTTATATCATGAAAGTTGCATCTTTAGGAGATTATTTGCGGAAAGTTGTCTTATTCTAATGAACGTTTCTAATAGTGTCGACATTAGATGAGATCACAAACTATTACATGATTCTTATTTAAATTTTTTACACTTTGTGACAAACAATTAATATCGACTTCCATTTAAGATCAATAATTTAAGTATTCACATCCATACATATAAAAACACACACACACATCCTTACAGTTCTCAAGTGGTCACACGTGTGAGCGTGACTCAAAATCAGTTTATTACAAACAGACGATCTCATAACATCGAGAGAATAATATTATTTGGTTTTCAAATAATAATTTAAAAAAAGACAAAACTTATAGTAATTTTGATTTACAAAATTTACCTATTCGGCTGAAAAATAACTCATAAATTTAATTTTTGTTAAAATCTTGTTTAGTAAAAAAGTGCTAACGTATATTCAAACATACAGGTGATAATTTCAATTTTGTCATTAACCTTTTCTTAAAATTTTGCATAACTTTCAAAAAAAATTATCATTTTTAATATCCTGTTATATAATCCACTCATTTATTTTTATCATTTTCATTTTGATCATATTATCATATTTCTGTACATTATTATTTTTTCAACTAATTTATTAATTAAAAAATCCATTTTCTTTTCTTAAGCATATTGTTTGCTTAAATCTCATGAAGATCATGTTTCTTGACAGATGTCCTGAAGATGGAACGTATCTAGTTCCGAAACGTCGACAGTAAATAAATAAATAAATAAAGAAATAGTTTATTTTAAATTTTTTTTTTTTTTTTATTACTTTTTGGATTCTTGTTCGAAACTCTACAAAATTTATACAAATCCAAGACTCTATCATTTAATATATATATATATATATATATATATATATATATATATATATATATATATATATAGATTTAGATTTGTTTGTTTGAGATTGAGACATATCTTGAATGTTGATTTTCAGCCAATCGTCGAAATACAAGAAAACAAATAAATAATAAAATATTTATTTATACTTTCTGACACGGGTTTGTCATCATTCAGCAACTTCTTTTGAAATTTTTGTTAATACATTATCTAAAAGAATTTTTACATAGTTAAAAAAAAAAATAAACATGTTATAGATTAAAAGATAAAATGACATGTAAAAAATTGATACTTACAACACTAGGAAAAACCATAAAATTTTTTTTTTTATTAATTAATATATAGAACATAAAGAATATAAAGTAAACATTTTTTTGGTCTTGAATGTTTGAAGATTTGTGTAATGTAAGTTCTATCAAACGAATCAGAATTACATTAATTGAATCCCATGAATTAAAATTACATTATGGATACCACACCAGGGTAAAATTAAGTTCTTACTTTTCTTTAAATTCAAAACTTGTAAATTTGATAAACAAGTGAAACTTTTTGTTACGCTCTAGAATATTCAAATTAATTCCAAAATTTTTTGATACAAATTTTTGTTTAAATTAGTTCATACATTTAAATTCTCAATCTTTGAATATGAAGTTGTGTAGTGTCAGTTTTGAAGCAATGTCTGTAGAAATAAAAAACATCTTTTCTTCTTTATCTTCACTTACGCAAAAAATCGATT